GCTGTTCCCATTGCCCACTGCAGTGCGGGAACAGCATGGGGGTCGCCTTTTTTACAAGAAATATACATTTGGAAAGTCTGCGTTATTCATATGAATTGAAATTGAGAAGTGTTTTCAAACAATTTAACGCAAATTTGAATCTGAAATTCCTCTCAGAAACGTTGCCAAGCCCAAGGTTTCCAACCATATATCAAAAACATAAAAAAAGGAAGAAAGAAGAAGAAAGAAAGAAAGCCTTCCTGAATCATTGATAAGCTGCCATGTTGTTTTATATACAATGTCGCGAGACTTTCGGAAAGCGTAAAAATACTCGAGCCGCAGGCGAGTGTATTTTTACGCTTTCCGAAAGTCGAGCAACATCCCAAGTGCATGGACCACGCTATCCTGCTTGGAAAACCATTTGGTAATTGTTTTATAAAATAACTACAGTAAAACAATGACATTTTGGGAATCCCGCGAAGGCATTTTAATTCCTCGTGCAGGATATAGCCTGATCCTGCACGGCTATTGACCAATTAAATTGCGTGTTTCACTGGAAGAGTCAGATATAATGCAGTATTGCAGTTTAATGCACTCTATACAATGCAACGAATAAAATTGTTCCAATGCCGAATTTGTCCAGTATATCGTTTGTTTAAATTCCGGAGTCCTGATGTGATATACCTGAGCCGTAGATGTAATCTGTGTCAGTCTTTTGTGATTTGCATTTGTCTTGAACTAAAGTGCCGTTGTCAACACATGATGAGTATTACAGTATATGATTATCACACGGCGGAGTGATTGTACTGTGACGTCTGTAATTTAACAAAAAACTTTATACATATAACTATATAGGTTTGATACAGCAACGTACATAAATATATTTCAAATACTGAAAACCAAACGGTAAGTCCTTGGTAATAGTCTGTCTTCTGTCGTCTTCAACAATGTAATATGAGCAGGTCAACGAATAAAAGGAATTTTATAAGGACAGGAACCACAAAAGTCAAAACTGATGGGCACACCTTGATAACTATATAAATGCTCGACTAGCTCGAGGCAGTTGTCGCCACCCAAAGTGTATCGGCTAAGAGATACATTTTTCTACAGATTTCAAATATTTTTTGTTTGTGTTAGGATTTCGCCTGTTATATACACAATCCAGTTCAGCAAAAAGCAAGTGGTAACCTACGAACATATATACAGTATTCAAGTTACATGCATGTATCGCTGTTTTTGAGTTTATAAACGATTAAACGAATGTTTGAAATAACCAGTTAAGCGACTAAAGTCACTCCTAAAAAGTGAGCGAGATAAAAAAATCATGAAGTTTTGTAAACACAATACACAGGTGACGAAAAAGGTCTACAAACTATTATATTCACTGTGAAGTCTGAACTTGCGGTTGCCGAGCTCGACAACTGGCCTCTGTTGCTCAGTTGGTTAGAGCGCTTTCACTGTATGGAATCGCAAGGCGAGGTTCGACTACTGATCCTGGTTATGTCTAATAAATGTATAAAATTCACACTAGTCGAGATTTCCATGATTCCATCTACAAAGCCCTTCTACAATTTGTTATATCGAGTGCAGATGCACAAAATCCTGATAGCAACAACCTAACCTGCGAACGGGAATGGCTCTGGGAAGTGTCTGGGAACGAGGTTGTTAATTATGTTACTTGCCAAAAATTTAAAGTCTCGGTGCAATCTGTTTCTGATGTTGAATTAGTGACCGCGCCTAAATGTCAAAAACAACTATTGCTCTCAACTTTTTTGTATTAGGTGGACGCGTATCACGTGAAACTGCTGTAAAAAGCAGAGTTCGTGAAAGGTCTATTAAAGTACGTTTTCATGCAAACACAATATGGAGTGATATCATTGAACAAGGTGGAATACATTGCGGCCATGTTGTGCAAATGACGAAATAGCGCTAATCCGAAACTTTTGTTGCGGTGTGTTGACATGTTCCTGGTCCACCTTTTAAAATCCCATTATATACCGACAGTTGAAGCAGGCGTCATTTTGCACCAGCTGGTGAAGACGCTTAGGTAGGATGAACACTCCCTGTGCAAGGAATTCATTCGAAGTTTGAGAGACGGACTTGCAATTGCACCAAATGAAAAACAAAACATATATATCCTTTGGCTTTGCCAATATAACTTTGGCAAACTTGGCATATCAAGATTCTGTTGGCATCTCACTTGATTGAATAATAGTCGATGGGGTTTTATAGATGGAAATTATCGAGTGTAAATTTTATATACATTTATTAGACCTATTAAACTGGTTATAAGTCCAGGGACGTAGCGAAGCATCTGAAGTTGGGAGGTCGGAGATTTTACCTGAAATTTGAACTTCAATGTTAAAAATTTACCTGAAATGTATTAATTATAAAAGAGAATATTTTCGATTGATTTGAACTGTCATACTAAGTTCCTGAAGAAAAGGGGGGTCCCCCAGAGAATTTTTACATTTTTGAAGCTCCGGGAGTTGCATTTCTGGCGTTTTCTAAAGCAAATTCGCAAACCGAATATCATGCTTCAGTAATGTGAAGCAACTGAAATGCGCGCAAGAATAAAATGCACGCAAGAATAAAATGCGCGCAAGAATAAAATGCGCGCAAGAATAAAATGCGCGCAAGAATAAAATGCCGCGCAAGAATAAAATGCGCGCAAGAATAAAATGCGCGCAAGAATAAAATGTGCGCAAGAATAAAATGCGTCTGCCTCTTCCTGTGTCAAAGAGAATTACCGTTAGTTACCGCTGGGAAAGTACAAATACACTTGATTTCAAGGGCGAAAAAAGCGCATCTAATAAGCTTAGTGTTGATATCTAATAACAATGTTTCAAATCGAATGTTTCACTTCGAAATCATTCAAATTTCAAGTCCTCGCTACGACACAAGCTATTTTGTCTTTCAGTTTCAAATGATTTAGTTTACGAGTTATCGAATCGAAAAGTTGATAAATTTGGAAGATGTCTTCAGATATTATACTTAACCGAAATCTTCTATTATCTTTGTTCTTAGGCTTAGCGGATTATTTTGTGTTTGTATATTATTTCAAAGACTTCAAACGTCAGGCGGTAATTTTGCCAATTATTTAACCAGGCGGGAAAATGAATTTTTGTTTCAAAAGTAGAATGCAGAACCATCTCTTTTTAGTCTTTTCAATTAAAACGCGCACAATTTCAATAGGAATTCGATACGTGCAATTCGAATAATGCGATTCATTTTTAATGCGAATCAATAGGTCATTTGATACGCATTATTATTATTAGGATATAAACGAACTAAAATTTCCTGTTAATAATAGCAGTAAAGGCTTCTTTCAATTTTATCAGCGTTCGTTGGCATTCCGCAGCAAACAGCTATTCGCGCGGTAATTTTGTTCGCTATCTAGTTTTCCCCGCAGTAGGTTTGCCTTTAATATATTTTCGCGACAAATTTTGTTGCGCGTATATTTTGCGTTCAAAGGTGGCCTATTTGTTCCGCCATGTTTCCAAATAAAAACAACTAATACCAACGGAGATCAGGCCAGGCTTGACCTTATGTAAGACTAATTAAACCTCGGCCCTGGATCTCTCTCTTCCAAGGACTTTTTCCAACTTTCTACATTCGAAAAACGCAATCAATCGGATTTGAACTAGAGGGTAATGAAACGGCGCGAAAAAAGGCAAGAGCGCCTTCCATCTTGAGCCATTTCAGATGTCTCGTGTCTTGAAAGCACACTAGAACTCGTTCGTTCAATTCATGAATAATTTAAAATTGTCCTGGATAAATAAAATTGGACTTATTAATAAACGACGCAGTTCCATACAGCGCGATTTGCTTTTAAAATATGGCAGCCCAGAAGAGAAAATTCCGTGCACGTGTGGTGACATATAATATGTGTTGTCATCAACACCGGTGCGCAATTTGAAACAATTTATTCAATATGGAACAGTTTATATCAATGCAATACAGAGCCGATATAATTAAAAGTGCGCAGATATGGGTAACAGTACGTTGTTTTAAAACATGCGCGCGTATCGTCGATGTACATTATAAATTCTATTCTGAACACTCGAATTATTCAGAGTTCATATTACAGCAGATAAAAACCAAGTAGCCCTACGTTGATACAAACATCACGTTTCTAGTATCTAGAACAGTTGGTAAAACTGTTTTTATTAAACGCACCGCAAGAACTAGTATACGAACTCAGCCAAATAGCTCCAACACGAGACAAAGTAGCGATCAATAATTCTAATCGAGGATTTATAATCCTGACGCAGATTATAACCATTTACATTTATCTTAAGAAATGATAAAACATGAACCCTAGACAAAACACATCTCACCTGTTTTGATCAAACTCTCCTGAAGGCGTCTTCTATAACAGGACTAGAGAATATTAAGACCGAAGCCCACGTTATGTTGAACAGAACAGTTCAGTTTTGCTCTTGGTGTCAAAATGCGGTCTTATCAAGGACTAGCTCGTTGACAGACAATCTTCTGAAGCATTTCCTATCATACTTATCACAAAAGTAAATAACATTTGAAAAGGTGCAAAATTGCCCAAATGATAAGATTGTACCAAACGTTACAAAAATGTGGAAAAGACTGTATTTCCTGGAAAAAAAAACGTGTCGCTGGTCTAAAAGGTAATGATGAAAAAAGTGAAACTTCGTTTGTTGCAAGAGGTATATCACCCTGTACAGAAAAAACATCTTGTCTACTTAACCGAAACGCCCAGTTCCTGTCCATTAAACATCACGAAAATATTGACACAATTACACGCTCGATTAAAGTTCCAAACCATCCCAGTTCTAAATACTTCCAGAAAACAAGCACGATTTCGTTGACCGGTACTTGTTCTGTACCTAAAATACGACTAGACCTCTTTCAGTGATAAATAGAATAAAAATTAACTTACCTGTGAATATCAAAAATTTTTTTCGGAAAGGGAGTAAACTGCCACAACATGTTGGATAAATTTAAGTTAAAAGAATTCCAAAATTCTAAAATTAATGAAGTGTAGTTTCCTGTGGTAATATAAAACTACAGCAATCTTCTTTGGTTTTCCTGTTTATAAGAAAGCTGATTTCACAATATTTACAGTGAGGGGACGCTGTGACGGTTGTACATCTATATCTATCTACATTACAGTGGCGAAACTAGCCATAGCAACAGGACATGCCATGCAATTTTTAATTGTCTTTAATTAAGGTGGCTCACGATTTAGATCCGTATTTTTGGACAATTATTACTTGTTGAAAAACAAAATCGGTGACCCCCAAATCTTATTTCATTATTTTGAAATTCAACAGAATTTTTTTTTTAATTATCAAATAAAATTAAAATGAAATAAAATTTGGTGGTTACCGATGTCGTTTGCGAGTTAAGTTATACTTTTAATAAGCCAAAATATCCGCCATGTTAAAACGTCATTGTTGCCATAGCAATGGTAGTTGCGTACTTTTGGGAAAAACTCTTTAGATGTTGTTTTAAATGAGTACGATGCTTTTTGTTGTTCGACAAGTAATCGCAAATTTCCCATTTTTTAAGGGAATGAACCAAATCACTAAAAAGACCACCTCGAAATTAGTAAGTATACAAAGTTTGAAGACATTTACATGAATACCCTTCGAATAATAAGCTTTCGAAAATCGCGATATTTACTATGAAATGTACTGTAATTTTTGTTTTTTGGGACGCGCGTCTCAAAAACAATCTTTTAATCAGTAATTTCCCAATTTTCGAAAGCTTATTATTCGAAGGGTATTCATGTAAATGTCTTCAAACGTTGCATACTTACTAATTTTGAGGTGGTCTTTTTAGTGATTCGGTTCATTTCTTAATTTGGGAACTTCTTAACACTCGTCCCCAGTCCACTCATCAACTTCAGAATGGCTAATTGCTTCATTAATGTTTCCAAACAATATTAATATTCGTAACATTCTGCCTCGCTCACGGAAACTGTTGAATAACTTAGCCATACTCATATCTTATAAAAAAACGGCTTGTCGACACTGAAGTTTGAATCTTAATGAATCCTTACTAAAATTAATGTAAAAATAACATATTACCTAAACATTCATTACTTATGACGGAACTCTGCTCCAAGCAATGTCATACCTTACTTTCACACTAAAATTGTTAGAAATCTTTAAAAATATACCGTACTTCGAGCTACATTTTCTGGGAAAATGTCCACTACTTTGCATCATGTTCCATATTTATAAAAAGTTTGAAAAGTGAAATCAGTCACCTCGCATTTTGTGGCAGGCTTGCTGCGTGGACCGAGTCGTGGAACTTACTGCAACGCTTATAGGGCCGGTTAGGACACCGGTGGATCTTCATTAACACTGGCTGGAATCTTAACAAGATCATTATGAACAATACTAGGACCGTTAGGTGTATTTGTGACATTATCAACATCACTGGTAGGATTCGTAGGGTCACTGGTAAAATTTAGAGGTGCATTGGCAGCTTTCGTTGGGTCAGTGCTAATATATGTACTTGTAGTTGTACTGGTAGGATTTGTAGGGTCACTTGTAGGATTTATAGGTGCATTGGTAGAATTCGTAGGGTCATTGCTAGTGCTTGTAGGGGCACTGGAAGCATTGGTAGGTGTATTGGTAGGATCATTGCTAGTGCTTGTAAGGGAACTGGAAGCATTGGTAGGATTCGTAGGGTCACTGGTAGGGTTTATAGGTGCATTGGTAGAATTCGTAGGGTCATTGCTAGTGCTTGTAGAGACACTGGAAGCATTGGTAGATGTATTGGTCTGATCACCGCTAGTACTTGTATGGGCACTGGAAGCATCGGTAGATGTATTGGTAGGATTCGTAGGGTCACTGGCAAGGTTTATAGGTGCATTGGCGGAATTTGAAAGGACACTGGTAAGATTTAGAGGTGCGTTGGTTGGGCTCGCAGGGACATTGGTAGGATCCGTGGAGACACTGGGAGGCTCGTCAATAGGGTGGGTAGGGATATTCGTGGTATTTCCAGGTTCTTCGGATGTCACATTAAGATCACTAGGGGTATTGGTAGGAGTGTTATTTGATACATCACTCGTGTCCAGTCCACTCTCTGGATGTTGATCACAAAGAGAACGTCCATCAGCCATCTTGGTAATCTGACCTGGACCGTGCGCAAGACAGAAGGAGTTTGAACACTCTTGACAACGTATCATCGCAGCTTTACCGCAGTCATCACAGAAATGCCAGGGACATAACCAATCACCGTGTGGTATTTTGTCAATGGTAAGACATGACAGATGATAGCATTTAGAACATCCTGTTTTAGAACACATTATTAACTCACCACCATCACCACAATCATAACACTCGTCTTCGTGTTCTGAAAGATACAATACACGGTCACATCGTTACGGGTTGCTACAAGGTGTCACTCACAACTTGTTGACAAATTGCTGAATTGCAGGACAATAAAAAGTTGTTGGAACAACTTGTAACAAGTCTGTTGAGCTTCGACAACCTTGTAGCAAGTTGTCAACAAGCTGGGAACAAGCGATGCGAAGACATCCTGTTGACAAGTTGTTGGAACAGCATTGCTACAAGTCTGCTGCAGGTTTGTTACAACTTGTGCGTTTTTACGTGTGTATCACAAAGGACAATCACTGATTTACGATGCGTAAGTAAGAGACAAGCAAAACTATGATTTGTGGTAATTTAATGTCGAACTAAACATGTACGATTTATGTACAATGTTTTCGCTAAAATCTACATAAATACATTTTATATCCAAGGATAAACGTATATACAACTAAAGCTTTTGTTAAATTTTAAAAATCTTTAAAAAGTTAATATTGTTTGGTTCGGACTTCACTCTTGAAAATTCGAAGAATTTCATAGAATGTTTTATTTAACTTAAGAACCTTGAAGAAATCAGAAATATTTAGAGACTGGTGAATAAATTAGAATACTTCATTTCGAATTCACGTTGAGTTCTAGAAGAGTAGTCTCCCTGGCAGCATAGTCTGTGAAGATACGATGGTCTGGAAGCCTCGCAAACTTCAAAGCTACAACATAGAAGACTTTTGTTTGATGTTGAACTGTAGCGCACCGTGCACAAATCCTTCGTCTCAACTTCGTTAAATATTATTCATCGTGGTTGCACGTTTCATCTCAGCTATCCCTATTGGAGGATGGTTACTCAATTATACGAAAATACAATGAGCTCAATCACCGTGACCGTGCACAAATTAACATAAACTCAGACGAAAACATAGTACAAATGACTTCCGTTTCGTTTCCAGACCATCATATCTTAATAGAATATGCTCGCAGGCAGCAGTTGTAGAATCGAGCTTCTCGTTTAATTTTGATAAAACATGTGAATGCCAATTGTTATCGGAAGTTGAAAAAGATATCTAAGTTTCTAAATAACAGGTAATGAGGAAGTCGGAACCAGACAATTTTGACATTACTTTAAAGTTTTATAGGCTTTGCCGTTTTTTAAGATTTAAAACTAATTTTACTTATATTTATATACATATACTTGGAGTATTATTTATTCAAGGTATACACACTTTTAAGAGGAAATCGCGAGGTTAACGCTATTTAACAATTTCCTCAACACAATTACGTACATTACACTTTCTTACATATATAACATAGGTGTGTTCATTTTTGAGAGGGAAAAAACCCGGAATACCCGGGGAAAAACCCTCCAAAACACAGGAGAGATCGACAACTCGACTCACATGAAAGGCAAGTCCATGCCCCAACTGGGCTTATATATAACTTTTTCAATGGTGAGAGGCAACGTGCTCACCGTCTCGGGTCAGGCTTGTAGTTAGGGCTTTTCAAGAATATTTAAAATTTGTGTCTCATTATTCAGAGAGCTTTCAGGGTTTAGATGTTGAGACTCTGACTTGACAACCAATGGAACCAATAGGGTATTAGAATAAGGGTCACGTGGTGGAGATACGTGACGTGCAGAAAAGGTTGAACCTGTAGTTCCATATCGAAGAGCCTCGACACCAGGTCCCAAGGCCTTAGGTCCCAGGTTGTGAAAAGCGTGAGATACAAAGGGAGTACCTTTTGGTGTAAATTGGGATAATGTCGTACTCTGGAGGGATCTCTGGACTGACGAAGTAGGTACATTATGTGGTAAACTGGGTAACTTGGTACTCGTGATGGAAGAGTTGGCATAGCAGTTGAAGTTAGATGCTGGAAGATTGCCTAGGTTTTCGAAGGAGTTTGGCGTAGTAGGAGAGTTTGGAGGAATGAGAGAGGAGTTTGGAAATTGTATAGGGTACGAGGAATTCATGAAACCTGAAATTACAGGATTAGTTTGAGAAATCTCGGACTGGTCAAGTTGCGAGTTAGAGAATGACTTGACACACAGAATGTCAGCAGGGAGTGAAGTCTCGAGACTTGATAAGATGGAAGACGTACCAGGAACATTTGGGAAACTTTGACGACCTGCCGTTTGATTGACCTCTCTCGTATTTTCTTTACAGTTGAGTTGATTGGCGAGGATAGGAATAGTCGAGGTTTGATGCGTGAGATAAGGAGAGATACTTGCAGACATATCTGGCTGGCTTCCTTGCTTTGAACTTTCTAGCACCGGTCTTGTAACAGTTTCGTTAAATGTTTTTAAGTTACTTTTGTTTAACTGTTCATTATTATGAAATAGAATTCGTTCAATGATAGTCTCGTCTTCATCAAACTCAAGTTCTGAAGCTTGAAATGCTTCTGGTGTTATATCAAAATGCTTTATATCTTCACACTCACTGCTCCCCAGATCTCCAGGTACCAGGCCGCGTGCTTGGGGTTTGCCTCTGGTACCTGAAAGAGCAGGTTGCAGGAGTAGTTTAGTTATTTTTATCAAATTCACAGTTTAAACACTACATATTAGAAACATGTTTAATTAAAAACACTAAAGTTGGGTTTGAAGGAATGGTTAGTCATTTTTATCACCAACATTAAATAATTACGTAGATATTTTAATTGTGGGATTCATAGTAGTTTAGACATCTTAATACTTTCATTAAAAATGAATGTCACTAGTGATTGATGGATAAATTGGTATTTGGGCCGATTTTTGCCTTATCGGCAGACAATCGGAATCAGTAGAATTCTGTATTTCCCAATGTGTAAAACCCATTTTTGAGAAAATACGCACTATAAAAATTATATACATTGCGCGTTGGTTTTAAAGCAATGGGTTCAATTTATACGTGAAGCGTGCCATTTATGAACGGTTTTAACGAACTTTGGTTGCAGTAAAATATTAGGTTGGAAAAGTATCGTAAAAAATCGAAGTGAATGACGTCATCATAAAATCAGTACCGGTATTAGATTGTTGCATGAATAATCGGTAATTTCGGATTGTGGCATAATAGGTCAATCACTAAATTTTACAGTATTTCAAAGCACTAGAGTTGGGCAATTGTAAGCAAAAAAATCCTTGCAGTAACTCGTACAAACTTTATTTTTTTAAAAATCTAAAGTTGGTTAAATCTTGAGTTAAAAGTTAAATTCTTTAGACATATATTATTTTAATTTTAAAGACGGATTCTTTATCTCAATTTTATTTTAGAAATAATTATTTTACAGTCTACAGGATATTGAAAAGAATATTATTTTGTGGAAAATATCGTTTTGGCAAGTCTTTCGATGCTACGAATTTCTCACGGTAAATCCTGTTGTTGTATGATGAAATATCATGACAATGAATGTATGTGCAATACACAAACTATATATATATCCCGTTTTCTGCCAACCTCGCAAGCCAGGGTTTTCTGCCAAGCGAACTTTTTCGCCCACAGCGAATCGAAAAGAAATGCGTTGTTTAAGGTCGAGACGCACCGGACGCGATACGATAACACGGCGCGATTTTTCAATTTTCACTGACCGATAACTTTGATCCTGGTTTAAGTTTTTCAAATATTTAGAAGCGCTATAACATTCTGAGTTATTTGGCAAACATATCTTTTAAAATTGCCTTTCATTGGCTGTTTTATTAACTTTCAAAAACTGAAAAATCGCCCCGCGTTGTCGAATCGCGTCCGGTGTGTCTCGGCCTTTAGATCCTGGTTTAAGTTTTTCAAATATTTAGAAGCGCTATAACATTCTGAGTTATTTGGCAAACATATCTTTTAAAATTGCCTTTCATTGGCTGTTTTATTAACTTTCAAAAACTGAAAAATCGCCCCGCGTTGTCGAATCGCGTCCGGTGTGTCTCGGCCTTTAGATCCTGGTTTAAGTTTTTCAAATATTTAGAAGCGCTATAACATTCTGAGTTATTTGGCAAACATATCTTTTAAAATTGCCTTTCATTGGCTGTTTTATTAACTTTCAAAAACTGAAAAATCGCCCCGCGTTGTCGAATCGCGTCCGGTGTGTCTCGGCCTTTAGATCCTGGTTTAAGTTTTTCAAATATTTAGAAGCGCTATAACATTCTGAGTTATTTGGCAAACATATCTTTTAAAATTGCCTTTCATTGGCTGTTTTATTAACTTTCAAAAACTGAAAAATCGCCCCGCGTTGTCGAATCGCGTCCGGTGTGTCTCGGCCTTTAGATCCTGGTTTAAGTTTTTCAAATATTTAGAAGCGCTATAACATTCTGAGTTATTTGGCAAACATATCTTTTAAAATTGCCTTTCATTGGCTGTTTTATTAACTTTCAAAAACTGAAAAATCGCCCCGCGTTGTCGAATCGCGTCCGGTGTGTCTCGGCCTTTAGTGATAAAACTCGGCGCGAAAAAATAGGAACTTGTTGTTTGTTTTTGCGATGCATTTGGTCGCTAATCACAGGGTTCGTAGTCTCCAAGACCAAAAAAATTCAAAGACTTTCAAAGATTTTTTCTGCCTATTTTCAAAGACTTTTCAAAGACCTTTGAGGGCAATCAGCTATCGAAAAATTGCGAGTGTAAACACCATTTTTACCCAGTAATTAGTCCCGTCAAATCACATCCTAAAATGCGCCTTTTCGTCGATATTTGCGAAAATCTTGCTTCAATCAATCTATTTTATTAGCTAGGAAATCTTATAATCAAATACTCACTAAAGAATTCAAAGACTTTTAAAGACTTTCTTCGCTTTTTCACACAATTTAAAGACTTTTCAAAGACCTCAAAGACCTGCATTCCAATTTAAAGACTTGCAAGGATTTCAAAGACCGCTACGAACCCTGAATCAATCACATTGTTCAAATATTTCTATACTTTTCGTGTAAAACAATTTGTTCATAGTGGAAAACGCGCTTCAGCAATTGACACAGAACGTTGTTTCTGAAAATAATGAAAGAAAATTTAGGAAAAACGTCTTACCATCAACGTTCTTTTTATTTGCAGTTTTCTTTTTCTTTTTCTTCGATTCCTGATTTTTCTTTTTCTCTTCCTGGAGTTTGAGAGCATGTTGTGTTTTTGGTCGAACTCCCAGAAAACCACTGCAGTTCTCGGATCCACAGCTACATTTCTTCTTCTCATTGCCTGCAGACACAATGAAATACAGATCAGAACATGCATATCTCATGCGCTTGTAAACCAATATTTTTCATTTAACAACGAAATAGAGAGGTGTCCGCATTAGAGAGGTGTCTGTATTAGAGGTAGTCTGTATCAGAGGTAGCCTGTGTTAGAAAGGTGATCTGTATTAGTGAGGTATCTGTATTAGAGAGGTGGCCTGTATTAGGGAGGTGTCTTGTGTTAGAAAGGTGCCTTGTATTAGAGAGGTGTCCTGTATTAGAGAGGTGCCTTGTATTAGAGAGGTGTCTTGTATTAGAGAGGTGGTCTTGTATTAGAGAGGTGGGCTGTCGTAGAGAGGTCTCTGTATTAAAGAGGTGCATTGTATTAAAGAGGTGCATTGTATTAGGGAGGTGTCTGCAATAGAGATGTGTCTGTAATAGAGAGGTGTCCTGTGTTAGAGAGGTGTCCTGTATTAGAGAGGTGTCCTATATTAGAGAGGTATCTGTAATAGAGGTGCCGTGTCATGTATTAGAAAGGCGTCCTGTATTAGAAAGGTGTCCTGTATTAGAAAGGCGTCCTGTATTAGAGAGGTGTCATGTATTAGAAAGGTGTCATGTATTAGAAAGGTGTCATGTATTAGAAAGGTGTCATGTATTAGAAAGGTGTCATGTATTAGAAAGGTGTCCTGTATTAGAGAGGTGTCCTGTATTAGAGAGGTGTCCTGTATTAGAAAGGTGTCCTGTATTAGAAAGGCGTCCTGTATTAGAGAGGTGTCCTGTATTAGAAAGGTGTCCTGTATCAGAGAGGTGTCCTGTATCAGAGAGGTGTCCTGTATCAGAGAGATGTCATGTATTAGAGAGGTGTCCTGTATTAGAGAGGCGTCCTGTATTAGAAATGTGTCCTGTATTAGAGAGGCGTCCTGTATTAGAAATGTGTCCTGTATTAGAGAGGTGTCCTGTATTAGAGAGATGTCCTGTATCAGAGAGGCGTCCTGTATTAGAAAGGTGTCCGTATTAGAAATGTGTCCTGTATTAGAGAGGTGTCCTGTATTAGAGAGGTGTCCTGTATTAGAAAGGTGTCCTGTATTAGAAATGTGTCCTGTATCAGAGAGGTGTCCTGTATTAGAGAGGTGTCCTGTATTAGAAATGTGTCCTGTATTAGAGAGGTGTCCTGTATTAGAAAGGTGTCCTGTATCAGAGAGGCGTCCTGTATTAGAGAGGTGTCATGTATTAGAGAGGTGTCATGTATTAGAGAGATGTACTGTATCAGAGAGGCGTCCTGTATTAGAGAGGTGTCTGTATTGGAGAGGTGTCCTGTATTAGAGAGGTGTCCTGTATTAGAGAGGCGTCCTGTATTAGAGAGGTGTCCTGTATTAGAGAGGTGTCCTGTATTAGAGAGGTATCCCAATTAGAGAGGTGTCCTGTATTAGAGAGATGTCCTGCATCAGAGAGGCGTCCTGTATTAGAGAGGTATCCCAATTAGAGAGGTGTCCTGTATTAGAGAGGTATCCCAATTAGAGAGGCGTCCTGTATTAGAGAGGTATCCCAATTAGAGAGGTGTCCTGTATTAGAGAGGTGTCCTGTATTAGAGAGGTGTCAGGTATTAGAGATGTCCTGCATCAGAGAGGCGTCCTGTATTAGAGAGGTGTCTGTATTGGAGAGGTATCCCAATTAGGGAGGTGTCCTGTATTAGAGAGTTGTCGGTATGAGATAGACACTTATTAGATAGAAGTGTCCGTATTAGAAGGAGATATTAGAAAACGGTAATAAAGGGTTTCAGTAAGGAAAGTATAGACTGTATAAAACTTGGACACACACCTAAACAGTCAAGTTGATAATCAAACACAAGTTCTTCGCCTTCCTTGATGTCTCGTTTGGCAAACAAACCAACGCGAACTTCGCCATTCACTGTCCATTTCTGTGTTTCACAGTTTGGATCACAACAATGATTCATGAAGCGGGAGAGGTTTCCCATTGGTCCAGCATCAATAATACAATCTTTATCAATCGTCAACATGTAGTAATTAATCACTCCGTCATTGATGCCTTTTCTAACTCGTTCACGACAAGTTTCGTCATTGATTAGCTCACCCACATATTCAATAACAAACTGCCCTTTCTTTGCGTCTGAAATATAAAATAAATACGCCTTAAAAGAACCAACGGCAGCAACACAAAACAAGTTCCTGACTTCCTTGGCGGTTTGCGTGGCAATAAATAAAATTGTTGTAAAAAAAATAAAATTGAAAAAATCAAAGTTTTCTTGATCTATTTAGGCAGTTTTAATACGCCAGCTTAACTGAGATAAAAGTATTAGGCCATAGAAGTTCTTGGTGCGGAGTAATTACTGCAACTTACGATGTTGCAGATTTCCTGCCATAAATTGTGTACAATTACGCATGTAATAATTGTGTGCATGGACCATATAAATACTTGAACCTATCAGCCTTGGACCATATAAATACTTGAACCTACCAGTCTTGGACCATATAAATACTTGAACCTAACAGTCTTGGACCATATAAATACTTGAACCTACCAGCCTTGGACCATATAAATACTTGAACCTACAAGCCTTGGACCATATAAATACTTGAACCTAACAGTCTTGGACCATATAAATACTTGAACCTACAAGCCTTGGACCATATAAATACTTGAACCTACCAGCCTTGGACCATATAAATACTTGAACCTACTAGCCTTGGAAAAATACTTGAACCTACCAGCCTTGGACCATATAAATACTTGAACCTACCTAGCCTTGGATCATATAAATACTTGAACCTATACTAGCCTTGGAACATATAAATACTTGAACCTACTAGCCTTGGAACATATAAATACTTGAACCTACTAGCCTTGGAACATATAAATACTTGAACCTACTAGCCTTGGAACATATAAATACTTGAACCTACCAGCCTTGGCTTTCAAGCCCCAGCCACGTCTTTCAGCACGAAATGGTTCACAATCCAAATACTGTCTTTTCACAAAACATTGATTTTGACATTTCTCTCTGGCAGGGCATTTCAATGGAGAACACTCGACATAGAGGATACGGTTGAGACAATGCGTGTCTGGACCACACGGATTTTCATCGTGAAAAGAGCAATCACATGTTGACCATTCACATTCGTCAATTACATATCGTGTTGCTGTTGTATAACGGTTTATCTGGATTAATATGAAAATAACGTTAAAATAGTTTTGAAACATGTGGTACTGTAGTAAAGGCAGCTGCGATCAGGCACCTAGCCAGGATTAGCAATCTACCCGTCCAAAAATGTTGGACCAGGCATACCCCCACCCCTCCGGGAATAAATTTGAAATCAGATCTTTATCTTCTTAAAACGTCATAGCAATCAAAAGAAAACGTGTATAAAAGTAAACAGCATGGTTGACCTCACAAACATAATCGCCATTGATGTTATATTGTTATATAAAATCAGCGTAAAATACTAAACACCCCGCAAATACATATAGGGATTTGTAATTTGTTTGCTTTTGGATGTAGTATGCGCAGTGACTGTTGAATGTGATAGTAAAATTTTAGCGTGTACGGTTGTATTAATTACTAAAGACAAAATACAGGAGTTTTAGCATATTTTTTTGCCCGTCCACGTTTAAAAGTACACGTCCAGAAGACGGGTGGACAGGCCTCTGGCTAAGTCCATGGCTGCGATCAGGCCTAGAAAATATATTTGTAAACAATAAGTAAATTATATGGCATTCCAGTATATAAGATGGCAAAAAAATTTAATTTAATTATTTTAATTAAATTAATTTTTTTTTAAATTAAAATTTCCTTTTTTTAAAAGTATTTTGTTAAAAATTTCCTGGCAGCGTTGCTGATGGACAGTTTCCACCACTGGCTGCGATGTGTAGCAAAACTTCAACATTTCGATCGGAGACCCTTCGTTTGGAAATTTGTAACATATAGATCGGGAAAAGTAGATTTGCTTTTTACACTAGTGACTCACTTGTATAAAAGCACATGCAATTTTCTCGATCCATGTTAACTTCCCGTTTTGCTTATATATTTTAGTTCTGCAGTAAACAGTGGTGTCAAGTAACGAAGTAAATGTACTTCGTTGCTGTACTTGAGTACTATTTTTGAGAAGTGAGCATGTAACAAAGTAAACTTTTTCTGCAGTACTTTTACTTGGAACGAAGTCGTTATAAGAAGCAACGTTTTACTTCGTTATTTTCATTTTGTGGCGAAGTATTTCGTTACTTTCTAACTTTTGTTTAATTTTACGTAATTTATTCCCAATTTATTTTACTTTTGGGATAGGTAATAGGTCCTCTACATGCGTTTGGGATCTCTTGTTTGTGACGTGCTTAGGGACCGGTCATTACTTATGGCGGGGGGTGGCACCGAAGAGAAATGTTTTTCTTGGCAAACATTTTGCTGACCCAACCATTAGAAAGTCAAAAATGTGATTACCCAACCTCAACTATCAATTAAAAAATAAATACCCACCCCTGGCCAAAAACTTTACCAAAGGATACTTTTACCACTTCTGTGACACGAGTTTGATAACGGCTTGTGAAATTTTCTGCAGTCTAAAGTTTCATACTGTCTGCACATGTTGTTTTTCTGGAGACACCATTTGCCTCCCATGCAACAAATCGGAAAATGATCAGGATAATGATTCTGATTGATTCACATATTGTATCTACATACGACTGTTGACATTGCTTTTTTTTCTTCCAATATGTCATGCTTTGGAAATGACAATATTTTTTTATTACCCAACCCTTGAGTTGTTTTGTTTTTCATTTACCCAATCTTTTACTTACTCAAAATTTTGTTTACCCAACCCTTTTCTCTTCGGTGCCACCCCCCACCATAAATAATGACCGGTCCCTTATAAGCATTATTTATTTAATGGATTTCTTATATCTTCAACGGGGTCTGGAAAGTAGACCATGCCGTGAAATATTGTATATTTATAATGCGTGTGCTGTTTTGTGTTTTTTTTTTTGTATCTCAATCCATGAATGGAGAAGTCCCCCCCCCCCCCCCTACACTCTACAGACAATAGTACTTTTACTTTGTACTTCAAGTATTTTTTAAGGATACTTTGTACTTTTTACTTAAGTACGTTTTGCCTCCAGTACTTTTTACTCAAGTCGTTTTATTGTTAATTACTTCTACTTTTACTCGAGTATAAATTCAAAGTAATTTGGCACCACTGGCAGTAAACCATGTATTGTAGAGTAATCATTCATGAGTATACCTTGATATGTTTATAAACTGCTGGTTTCTTCGACAATTTCTCCAGATCTTTTTCAGCTTTCTCCTCTTGGGCTTTCTGCCACTCTGTATATTTCTCTTGTGCCTCAACAAGAGCTGCAGAAAACGTGCAATACAATAACCCACCAGTACTATCTCTACCACTGATGAGTAAAATTGTGTGGCGTTAGACAGAATAAACACTAAAGTAGAGTGCATAACATGCATTGCCTGCTAATTGGTTAACAAGAGACATGGGCAGATAGATTAGTTAACTCGATGTCAAGTCTGATAATATCAAGATTACACTGGTATCGAAGGAACTAGATTCTGTTCCGAAATATCACTTACTCGAACCGTCCTGACCGCGTAGCTCAGTTGGCAGAGCATTGGTATTCCAAAGTATTAGTATTCCAAAGGTCATAGGTTCGATTCCCACCGTGGCCGGGCATATTTTTCAAGCTCGTCCGGTGTGGATATGCACTCAGAGTAACATCACACACATCAATATCAACAAGGTTGAACTTGTTACAACTGTTAATAAGTTGTTCCATACTTGTCAACCACTTGGCCGGGACAAGCTGTACTAACACAACTTATTGTCAGACTTGCTACAAGATGACAAGATATGAGATTCTTGAGTGTGTACACGAACACGCATTGCTTTTTTAGACAATTGTATTAGTTGCCTGATGAAGGGCAGGTACTGTAACTGCTTGAACATCAAAGCATCAGACACAAACCACCTGTACGTACAGTAATTGATCAAGCGTGGGTGGACTACAAAATTTTTGTAGTTCGTTATAACTACAGCTACTTCAAAAATATGTATAGTCAGCTACAACTACTGCTACTTTTGAACAAAGGTAGTTCGCTACTGACTACAGCTACTGCTTTAAAAATGTAGCGACTATTTCGCTACGCTATATTTTTTAGTTTTACTGTATTTGAAGCATCTACTAACTCAGGCTGAAATGTAACCTACACACATAAAAATCATCATGTTGATGCAAGTTGTTCAAAACAGGAGCGAACAATGTTGTGCTGCACCCCGTGAACAATATTGTTAACAAGTTGTTGAACCATCAACATTGTTGTAACAATCATGTTAACAACTTGCAACAGTACTGATGGTTGAACAACTTGTTAACAATATTGTTCACGGGGTGCAGCGCAACATTGTTCACTCCTGTTTGAACAACGCCGAACAACCTGATCAATTTTAACCCGTGTATAACAAATCGACTTACGAGTAGCAACAGTAAACACAAAGCAACATTTTTGTAAGCACTACAGTGTTCAAGACTCAAGAGTGCAAATTGACTATGGAGTATTGATTTTAAGCAAACCATGTCTCAATATCATTCTGCTCTATCAAGTTGCTAACAATTTTAAAAAGTAGCGAATAGCGATTCGCTGTTTGAAAAGTATATTCAACTACTTGGCTACTTTTAGGCAAAATGTAGTTCGCTATAACTACAGCTACTGTTTTAAAAAAGTAGTCAAAAACTACTGGCTACTTGAAAATTGTAGTTCGCTACAGTAGCGAACTACAACTACTTCGCTGCTACCCACCCTTGTAATTGATGCAGATCAGTGAAGTAATGCTACTGTACAAACCTTTCTTGAAAATCTCAGCTAAATATTTCCCTCCACTTCCAATCGAGCCTTTGTCTCCCTCCTGATACGAGAAGACACGACCACGATGTATCCAGTAGTAATCATGTGAGCCAAGAAATTGAACTGGAAATTCACCAGGCTGATGTTTCATTCGCTGGATGTTTGTTGGAATGTTGTTCGGATTACAAATCTGTGCTGGCCACCACCTTATGAATAAGAACAAGACAATACATTACTGCTGTGAAGCCTGGTTTCCTCAACCGCCAGTTTGTAATAGTTTAAAACTGTAAACCACATATAAATCACCAGTATTCCCTAGTTATAATCACTCCGCATATTTTCAGTTCTAAAATGTTGTATTTCAGCTGATATGTGAAAGATTGTGACTCAATCTTTACGATCCAGGGTTTTCAGTTTAGGCCGGTGAACGGCGAATTTCGCCAGACTTTTTCATTCAACCCCACCCAAATTCGCCAGAGCTTTTATGTTTAGTCACGTCTCTATTATGTGTACTCGCCCAAATTTGTACATTCTATCGGTAGAAATAATATCTATCGCCATAGCTTCATCGCCATAGCTTCATCGCCATTAGCCAGAGCCTCACACAAAACTGAAAACCCCGAGTCGACCATATGGAAACCAGGCTTAAGGTTAACTTTGTTAATTAACAAGGAACGAAATTACAAGGAATCGGTACTTTTTTAAGCTTACTGTAACATGTTATGTTTTGAATAGAGGTAACTGGTACATTTTGGCTTAAAATGGAATGATAACGTGTTACTTTTCCAGGCAAGCAACATTTACGTTACTTTTTCCGTTAATTAATACATTTAAATAGTACATGTATATATAAAATTTTTAGATTCTCAAAACATTTAAAAATTCAGAATATTTAATATTGGCTATTCCGCTATTGTCAACTAGTGATACGCAACTGAATTCCTTAACATAAGTTGGTTAGAATTAGGATAAACGTCATTTTTGCACCCCCTCCCCATGCACCCCTGTTGACCAGAGCGAGTCTTGCTAAATCCACCTGGTGCCCTCTAGTTCTACTCTGTCTAACCCTAGCTTATTTTTTTGTACTCAAGATATTTTACTTCTAATCCTAACAAATTTCTTTAAATTAACCATGTGAATTTGGCATGATACATTACCCCAGGCCTTAAAATATTGGTCGGTCACGGACATTGTCCGAGTCAGACGGCCCTGTAAATGATATTTTAAGGCCTGTCATTACAAAAAATCCAATTGAAATTCCAATGGGAATTTTGTTTAGAAATTGGCCCAAAAAATTCCAAATGGAATGAAAACTGGTCCAAATTCCAAACAGGATTATAATTCCAATTGGACTTTTTTGTAAGTAAAACAATACATTAACCCATTGAGTCCCATTGCACCCTGATGACCCTACTTTAGTATTTTACTCTGTATAACGCCAGACGATTTTACTCGTCAAGGGGAGAGCGCTGGTGCTTAATGGGCTAACTGGCCTATCTGCCCATGTGTCTAGTTAATCCATTGAGTCGCATTGCACCCTGATGCACCCTACTTTAGTATTTTACTCTGTCTAACGCCAGACGATTTTACTCGTCAAGGGGAGACCGCTGGCGCTTAATGGGTTAAAGTGAAATATTGTAGTACCTGTACATTCCAAGTTTGACCCAAACAATTTCACCATACAACATTTCCTTGCCGTCTTTACAATCTCGACAGAAGAAACGACCCTCTGGAATCCCTGCCTCCTCGATACACTCAGCATGAAATGCTGCAGGACAGCTCTCACAACAGATCAATGTTCCTCCAATGGAACAAACGAAACACCAGTTGACGTTGACATGCAAGTGGTGAGCTTTCTTTGGATCTGCGATGAAATGCCGGTTACAAACTAAATACCCCGAGGTGATTGGTAGAGAACCTGCAACAATACACGTTGAGCTATGGTATGCAACTGGACACCGTGTACAACATGTTAGCCGTCTTTTTAAGGTCGAGGATTTCTTTGTTCCACAAACATTACAATGGTGAAGAGGGCAGATGAAATTCTCATCTTTAATCTTGGCATCAAGGGTCTTGATGCAATCTAGGTGATAACACTTGCCACAGTTCTGTGAAGAACATTTGATGACGTTGTCTGCCTTACCACAAACAAAACATGTGTGATTTCCTGTTGTACATTTATCACAGATAAACTTCTCAGGAAGAACATCCCTTGTCAAGCAATCTTTATGGTAAGCACTGTTACAGATACCTTCACAAATTAACAAGTTGTCAGGTTTTTCACAAACTGCACAAACAAATTCCTTGATTTTTGATAACGATTTACGACTTTCAATATCTATACTGGATATGCTGTTCGTATCACTAGCACCATCTGACTTTTCACTTTCAGCAGACGGACTGCTCAGATTGTTGGGCAAAGTGTTTGCTGAGGGCCGAATCTTCTCGATTTTTAGTTTCTTTGCCAGAGTAACAGCTTTCTCGGTGTTGCTGTGACCGACAAGAAATAACAAGTCTTTACGAGGACGGCCTCGTTTTCGTTTCCCATTTTCAATGCTCATTTGAACTGTACAAGCTGTGGGTGAATGGTTTACAAATATACAGTTGTCTTTGATTTTCTTGACTTGTTTATCCAATTTATTTGCAACTTGTTTAATATCCAGTTTGTTGTTGTTGACTGGTTTGTCCAGTTTGTTCTTACCTTGTTGATCAAGTCTTTTGTTAACATGCTTTGCCAGTTCTTTGTTTACTGGTTTATTCACTTTGTTGTTTACTTGTTTATTAGGTGTAGTTTTCATTTGTTTTGGAGTTGTTAAAGCTGTTTGTTTAACAGTACTTTTATTGCTCTTTCTTGGTGAATTATTCTTTGGTTTTGCATTGTCAGGTTTCGTGCCATCCATGGTAAGCATGTCTGCATCATCAACTCTAGTTTTCTTAACCGGAGGTTCACCGCCATCAGCAGAAATGTCCTCATGATCATCATCCATTGTGCCTGGTGTAGCATTTGACGTCTTATCTTCGAACTCACTAAGGACATCGCCAGTTCCTTGATCAACAACAGTGTCCGGAGTCTCCACAATGCTACACATGAAGACATTAAAAGACTCTTGTCTTTCATGATGGTTTAGTGGTAGTGCTTCGTCTGCCATCTTTATTGCATTCTCCCAAACTGGAAGCTGTTTCTTACCAATCTTGTGTTGTTTGCCATGGACAGAGAGACGCAAGGAGAGAAAATGGGATTTGCCTGAAATTGCATATAAAACCTATGTGAATGTGTTAACGTTCAAGACAATTTACCATTATGTTAGTATTAATTTGCTAGTGTTGAAATGTTGGGTGGTTAAACCAAAGCAGCAGGCAATATCATGGCTGAAAAATCAATATCTTGTCAGCTAAATTGATTTAGTTGACATCTTATTGGTGGTAATTTTCATTGCATAATGTACACTTATGTGCTAATGGAAGCCAAATAGTTGGAGACATTTTTCATGGCTATAAACCTGCCACACATGAAATTTGCAGCCAGTCCCCAGGTTCACATAGTAATAGAAATTATTGTAGAACTGTACTCCTAAAGCCAAGAAAAAATGACATTATATCTACACAACATCCCAAGTATCATGCCCATGCAAATTAAATGTCATCTTGCATACACATTGTACAAACTTTCCAATCCAGTTAATCCTTGTGACATCATTTCAGCCAGGAAAGTAGTATGGAGAGTCAACCAGAAAGGTCTTTACAAAAGGTCAAGTGGGTAAATCCAAACATTGCCCCAAACCCTGATAATTGGTCTGAAGACCAAAATATTACCACCATTTTCATCAATAAAACAAGTACAGCAAGGCCAGGTGAAAACGCTAGGGAAGGTGGAAAAAGTTGTAGGGGAGGTGTAGCAGTTTGGCCAGCCCATGGCTTTCCTGGGATGGGTGTCTTTAGCCCCCCCCCCCCTGAAGACAACTATGTGACATATTAATGTAATGTACAAATATATATTAAATGTATTTATAAATTATGACTGTATGAGTCATCCAATTTTGCCCCTTGTTACAATATTACAAAATTCCTATTGGATGAAAAGGGTAGTTTCCACATGCTGGACTCATAGATGAATCCAGTGTGGCATGCACATATTTTCTGGGGAGGGTTTGTGTGTGTGCACCCCCCAGAAATGATTTACCCCAGAGGCATTTGCCACCACCCCCAAAAGTTTTTGCACCCCCACAAATTATATATATTTTGATTTGATAGTTTCATATTTGATTAATCTTACTACTAAATTTGTAAAATTACCAATATTATGGTCTCAGATCTCATCATGCAGACCTAGAAAACAAATTTTGTTTCCTTGGCCTTTCCGGGCGTTGCCACCAGGCCCCGGGCAATGCAAGCAGCATCCCCCCAGATATTGATCCCCCCCCCCACCGAACGAAAATCCGTCTCTGCAGTGTGGATAGTTTGTGTCATGCAACCAAGATATTGGTCACACGATTTTGATACTTTCTACATATTTACTATTAAATTTTTAAATCTTGGGAGGGCAATTTCTAAACTTTCCAGTCAGATGAATGACATTCAATTTTTCAGAAAAATCATTTTTTATGAAGTGTAGACACTATGCAACACAACAAACATTAAAGTTTATTGCTACAGTAAGTTGGAGTCAAATTTTGATCTATCATTTGACCTTTCCCAAGACATGCATGAATTTTCAGGTGCAAAACAATCTCGGGAGGTCCACACCTCCCCTCACCTCAAAATTCTGCCGCAAAGTACAGGATATGTAAATACGAATGTTAACGAAATTGACTTTCATACTTTATCAACTGTAACAAATATTTGTATGTTGAATTTTTGAAATCTTGTACAGTGCCTACACACTTGGATCAATTCTAGTATACTACCCTCACACAAATCCCCAAACTTTCCAGTCTGACTTTCCAACCAATATTAAATAAATAAATTGGCAGTAAACTTTTAAAAAAATTCAAAAATATTTCAATGCAGCCTGCCAGCCGCCATGTTGAATATTTAATATGGCTGTGAGTCAGTTCAGGAAGACACAAGTCTAAATTTTCACGTATAAACTAAAATTTTTAGAATTCTAACTATAGCTATATATTTAAAGTACTAATTAATATCTAAGTTTCACTACAGTAATATTTAAGGAATTATGAGGGTTATTTTATGTTTGCTAAAAGCATGAGGTATTGAAAAATTTGGAGGGAGTTATGGGGAAAATACTACCTTCGTATTTCAAGACGTTTCGTTCAGTCACCCAACCTCGCATTAGTTCTGTACCAAAAAATTGAACATGGTAGTATCGTGTCCTTCCTTTCATTTTGAAATACACAGCAGTATTCGGTTCATGTGCGATCAGTGAAGGCCACCATGGATGACCAGGAATCTTCGACCACACGACATCTCCAACACACCATGGCAATTTCTCGCCTTCTGGAGGTGTACTCACTTGTAAGCTACTCTCAAGAGTTGCAACATCTTCCTCTGTTTTTAAAAAAGGTTTTTCACCGCTTTGATCGGCTTCTAAAGCCTCGATATTCGACATTGATAAAACTTTATAAAGCTCCAACTCAGTCGATCATCTTCGATCAAGCTTTGGTGTGTTTGCAAATACAGCTCAATCTTGGAATCTCATTGGTTCATTTCAAATTTGCACATGGAATTTGGCGGCGATTTGTTCGGAAATATTTCGTGGGATTCCGGAGTTACTCGTAAAGAAATTAATAATTAATTACAGTATAAATACATTTTAAAACATGATGCGGAACTATGGATAAAAGCGGCGAACGCGGATAGACGGACAAACGGACGGCCTTCTAAGTGTTCGAATTTTGATCACGTGTCTCTCAAGTAACATTTTATGGAACGTTTTGTCAAATAAACAAATGTGACGTATTCCACAAATTATATTGATCGCCATACCAAACTACAAAGAACAAGTATATTACATACACGTTTTCAATATAATTTACAAAATCAAATAATTTACAAATTCAAATAATTTACATTATTTTAAAAGGATACCCGTGCTACTGTGAATAAATATATTTATAAACAATGACGAGTAATAAACATATACATATAAAAACATTTAAGTTTTCAAGGGGTTGAGCATGAAATACGGTAAACCATATAACACTGTGTTATCCAAAACAATAACATTTGATTGTGTTGATGAAACTTCTGTAGTGATATCCCCAGGTGAAATATCTTGATCTGTATTGCTCTCGGGTTTAGGATGAACGGACGAACGTAACGCATTCCCAATGTTCTTGCTGTTGTCTATCGCGGCTGAAAGAAAACAATATGGTACAACCAACTAGTTTAGTTGATATTACTGCGCCTATGGTTCATTTAACAACGTGTCGTGAGTATTTTCCACAAAAAAAGAAAAAAAAAATTTTCGCCAGTCAAACAAGAGTTGTAATGATTTCACCGAATATTTTCACCAAATAATCAGCAAGAATATAGCACAATCATGGATGGTACAATCAATACAATCATAGAAGTAATATATGAACAACGAGAGCGAGTGTTTCACCGGGATATCCAAACACGAGAAAACAATGTATGAAAACACGAGCGCGAGTGTTTTCATACATTGTTTTCAAGTTTTGGATATCCCGGTGAGACACGAGCTCGGGTTGTTTATATGGCTTCTCAAATGAATCGAGACGTAACAGAATGTTTTCGTTTGCTGATTTGAATAGAATTCTTAACCAAGCATAACGAAATTAGGAATTCTATTCAAGTAATTTTGTATGCGTAATTAAGATATTTGATGAAAACACTAGTGACTTTCATCAAATATCTTAATTACGTATACAGTTAAACTCTTGTGGTGCTGTGTCTGACGGTGTTTGACCGCGGTATCCAAACAGCATCTTGTGACGGAATGCTTACATGCTGTTGGTTTAATTACTCATGAATTATTAATGAATTTAAGAAGAATATAGTTCAATCATGAATATAGTACAATCATAAATTATTAAGATCCAATAAGATCCAAATTACAAATAAAAAATCCAAATTACCTTCAAGGATTTTAGTAAACTTCTCCCTGTTGTCTCTGAGTTTACAATTCCACTGATTGGCAATGATGCTGTTAACACCAGTAAGTGACAGGATAGCCGCTGATTCAAACGGGAACTCAAAAGTCAACTCATTGCAGCTGAACACAAAAAATTGAATGATGTCAGTAGTACACGACACTTGATGTAGATTACAGGTGTTGGTGGTCAACTTCAGAGCGTCTCAAAATACACTTAATGTCTGCTCCAGAGCAGTGGCGGAAATCTTGGTGGGGTGGGGTGGGGGGGGGGCGGCCGTCCCCCCTACCTTTTCGAGTGCAAATGGGGAGGAGGGTTGTCGGAAATTTGAAAGTTTTGTCGGAAATTTAGAAGGCTTCGCCTCCCCCCCCGGAAAAAGTGAATTTCCGCCACTGCTCCAGAGAGTCTCAACGTTTCGAGACCAAGTCGAGGGAAACATTAAGATTCGATGGGAAACAAAACTATTTAACTAAATTTTTCACACATTCTTTATCGAAAAATCGTAAGAATAAATCATACTTAACATGCACACAGTTAAGTATTCTTTGTTACTGCATAGCATGCATACTGCTAGCTGTATTATACGGTCAAATTTTCCATTGTTTTTATGCACTTTTGAGGAACATGTGAAGAAGACTTTTCTAGGTCTGCATGCTTTTGACTAAATCCTATGTTTTGAAATATTTACAAATAAGCTCAACTTACGTTTTAGAGGCGTCTAAAGTAGCCTGTCGTAGAAAGCTTTCGTTTGTCTCAACATGGTCCAGAATTAGCATGATGTTGCACTCTTGAGAAAGAAAACCCACATGATTCACGTTTTAGGGGGAATTACTATTTTTAGACTTTAGGGTTAGAATTAGGGTTTGGATTAGGTTTAGGTTTAGGATTAAAGTAAGGGTTAGGATTAGGGTTAAGTTTAAAATACAAAAGAATTCAAAATTACAAAGTCTAAAAATAGTAACTCCCCCTAAAACGTGACAGGTATAGTATCAATAAATCTAAATAAATCATATAGAACGACAACAATAACGAAGAGTAGTAACTTGATGCAGCATACATGTACGCATAGTGTACCTATTTTTACCTTGTAATGGGAACGAGACAAGCAGCGAAGGAGGAACATAATTGAGACATTTCTGAGTGCCATAAAATATGAAGGCGGAACTTTCTTTCATCAATTTCTGCCATTCTCCGACACTAAAGAACAACATATAATTTCCCCTTAATATAAACCTTAGTATTTATACATGAACTTGCCAGTTAAAGCTCGACAACTGGACTCTGTAGCTCAGTTGGTTAGAGGCGCTGCACCGGAATTGCAGGGCCGGAGTCTCGCTTCTTGCCAAAGGGCCGATAAATATAACTAATTGTTGAAGGGAATTGTATAGATGGAAATCTCGAGTGGAATTTTTATACATTCAGTGGTGTCAAGTGACGTAAATGTACTTCGTTACTGCACTTGAGTACTATTTTTGAGAAGTCAACATGCAACAAAGTAAACTTTTTCTGGAGTACTTTTACTTGGAACGAAGTCGTTTTAAGAAGTAACGTTTTACTTCGTTATTTACTTTCTAACTTTTGTTCAATTTTACGTGATTTATTTTAATTTTTGGATAGGTAATAGGACCTCTACATGGGTCTGGGATCTCTCGTTTGTGGCTTACTTATAAGTATTACATTTATTTAATGGATTTCTTTTATCTCCAACGGGGTCTGGAAAGTAGACCATGCCGTGAAATATTGTATATTTATAATGCGTGTGCTGCTTTGTGTTTATTTTTTTTTTTATCTCAATCCATCAATAGAGAATCCCCCCTACACGCTACAGACAACAGTACTTTTACTTTTACTTTGTACTTCAAGTATTTTTTAAGGATACTTTGTACTTTTTACTTAAGTACATTTTGCCTCCAGTACTTTAGTTTTACTCTTACTCAAGTCGTTTTATTGTCAATTACTTCTACTTTTACTTGAGTACAAATTCGAAGTAATTTAGGCACCACTGTATACATTTATTACACCTAACCAGGAGCTGTTGCGAAAAATGCAACTATCAGTGAGATACCCAAAACCTGATATTTACCCATATACCGTACATTGGCATCACCTCCGTATTTATACATGAACTGGTGGTTAAAGCTCGACTACTATCTCTCTTGCATGTAGCTCAATTGGTTAGAGCGCTGCACCAGAATCGCAGGGCCGGAGGTTCGGAACTTTCTACTGATTATGAAAACAAATACTATTCTCTTAAAAAAACTCATTAATAATTCATGAGGAAAAACAAAAGAACTGAATGTTTAATCAATGTTTGTAAATCGGATAAAGATTTGTCCTGATTTACATAAACTTCAGCTTTGATTTTCTCGGCTTATACAATGTTTATTTTTAAAATTACTTCGCCAATGAACTCATAAGATGGGTCGTTTTTCGGCTCGAGTTTGTATAACAGATAAAGATTGGCTGCTCATGTTTTAACTAGTCGTTCGAATCTGTAACCAGCTGTAATAACTATATGAAAATCTTACCTGGGGACGTGATTCGTGCCAGTCAGGCCACTCCATTTTGCAGACAACTGACGATATTTTGAAATAGCATCATTTAAATTTTTTTCTGGGCTCTCGTCCTCGTTACTTGTACACTCGTTATATGGATCAACAATGTCTCAATCGATGTCAAGGAAAATACATATTAACGGCCCACTAGACTTTCCCAAAGTCCGTTTTCTCTTGTGCGTGAGGGGTTAAGGCGAAAAGGGAGGCGAGAAAGTTAGGAATGTGAGAAGTGAAGTAGCTTGCGATGTTGAGTACTAGTCAAACGTTTTAGAACACACTTTTTTTTTGGCTGTTACAAAAAATAGTCATATCTAACTCAAAATTCAACCAATTTAAATGTAAATTTAACGTGTAACTGACAGAGACATTATACCCACCCATTAGTAGTTTTTGAAATTAGCATTGTAAACCGGTACAGTTAAGTACAGTTATCACCAAATGTATGGCATTTTCGACATTTTTCCAAAATTTAATTGTGACCATATTATCAGATTCCGATTGTTAACATTTTTGCACGATGATTCTTTGCAAAGTGTTTGTAGTATATCAGGAATATTGAATTTGTACTTCAATGCTACGATGGGATGACAAGCACGATCATTTTGATGTATTGATTTCACAGCATTCAAGAAAAATTGCACTGTTTCTCTAGTATCATCGATCTGCTGAACAAATTGCAAATGAAAGAAATTAAACAACCATCACAACTTTTACACTATAAAGTCTGATCACCATTATTTTCCATTCTTTTTAATCGGATGCATGTTAATTAATAGGATGCATGCATGGGAACACATTCAGATAAAAGGATACATCTTAATGCAGAAATATCAACAGAAATTCCTTCTTTAGGAATACCTTGTTCTTTGGATACCTGAAGAAAAAAAAATTGTAATCATACTTTGAGAAGTGTTTTTGAATCTGACGAACACACGGAGTTGCTTATATTTATACTCCTGTATTGAATATCGTATTTATTTCTATAATTTCTTGAACATTTGGTATAAAATATGAACGTAAAACTCTATACAAAAAACTATAAATCGTATCGTGTTCGAGCTTGCGAGTCGTATCGTGTTCGAGCTATAAATCGTATGACCTTTGTCTCTATAGCAACAGTTCTGCTATTGGTTGGCATAAATTAAGTCAACATAAATTAAATTAAATTTAAATGTTTATCACACTGGCCGGGTTGATCAGCTATGATGATCAATTGAAAGATTAATATTAATATTAACCATAACATATACTTTACTATAATTATCAATGTTCAGTCCGTTATTGTCCTTTACGTAAAAGTTCTCCAATAACTGCAGCTGTTCGTCTCGGTCGACCTTTCGTCGTTGTCTCGATAGCTGGTGGTGACGCAGTAGAAACTTCTTCGTCAGTTGGGCTAGGTAATTCGGGTTCCATATGCAATTCCAATGGAATGAGATGTTGTATGGGCCTACGTAGCTCCGTTGTCTTTACTTTATCACCACGTACAAGTTGAATTCTTGCAGCTCGTATTATTCCATCAGCGCTTTGTATTAAATCTTTTATCTTGGCCAATTTCCAAAATATACGTGGCGTTCCATCTTCCTTTAAAATCACAATATCTCCGACTGCAATTGTTGCTCGTTCTTTTCCATGGATAGCACGTGATCCTTCTCTTATACTTAAGAGATATTCATTTTTCCAACGCTTTATAAACTGTCCGAGTAGTCTTTTCTGATATTTCGCTTTCTTGGTCAATGCCTCTTGGGTGCTGACAATTTCAAATTGCTTATCATTCGGAGAGGTATTAATCTGCCGTCCGTAAATGAGTTGAGATGGAGTTAGCGGATAAGATATTCCTTCGTCGTCGTCGTACATATATGTGAGTGGTCTATTGTTGAGCGTTGCTTCGATCTCCACCAAAACCGTTCTCAATTCCTCGAAAGTTAGCGATGTGCGACCAAGGTTTTTCTTCAGACAACGTTTGGTACTTTGGATCATCCTTTCCCAAAATCCTCCTTGCCATGGAGCTTTTTCGATTATAAACTGCCATGTAACTCCTTTCGTCGACATATATCGTTGTACTTCATTCGATCTTGTAATCAATTTCACCTCTTTCGCTGCCGCTTTGAATGTTTTTGCATTGTCAGATAATAAACGTGCTGGTAAACCTCGGCGTGATGTGAAACGACGAAACGATAATAGGAATGATTCTACAGACAGGTCTTCGGTGAGTTCCAGATGAATAGCCCTGGTTGAGGCACATGTATATAGGCAAATATAGGTCTTTTGTTTATACTCGTCTTTCACGAACAGAGGGCCCGCGAAGTCTATGCCAGTATTTGAAAACGGAGGATCATCGCTCACTCGACAAGCTGGTAAGGGTGGTTCTTTCATGCTCGTGAACGCCTTTCCTTCGAATCTCTTACACACAATGCATCTTCGTATGATTTGTTTCACTATCTCCCGACCTCGTGGAATCCAGTACTTCTCTCTTATAGAATTTAAAGTCTCTCTGACTCCGTCATGATGCACGCTTTCGTGTCTTGCTCGAATGATTAGATTAGTGACATGATGCTTCGAAGGAAGCAATATAGGTTGCTTAGCTGCTTCAGATACGCTGGAATGTTGGATTCGTCCTTCGCAACATACTATTTTGTCTTCGTTGATAAACAATCCCAATTGTTTCACCAAGGGAGTCGTTCCACCAATTCGTAATTGTCTGATTTCAGGCTCGTAGGACTGGGCTTGAACACTCCTTGTCCAGCAGGTTTCGGCTTCTCGTATTTCAGACGCCTTTAATTCTTTCATCGTTGGCAAATCGTGTTCCTTCGATCGTAGACATCGGATGAATCTGAGAACATACGCTGTTACACGAATTAATTTTGTCAGAGAACTGAATCTTGAACAATCGATAACTTGAGACACGTCTTTATCGGTTGACATATCTTCTGTGTTTACAAACGAAAATGTTACATGTGGAGGAGATTTTACTAACTCTTTGAGACTTGTTTCGTCGATTTCTCGAGCTTGTGGAACACATGGCCATTCGCTTTCTGGTTTCTTTAAGAAGTCAGGCCCTTCCCACCATAACTTATTTTCGATTAGCTCATCAGCAGATAACCCCCGAGAAGGTATATCAGCAGGATTTTGATCTCCTGGGCAATGTCTCCATCGTTCTCTTGGTGTAGCTTGTCGAATCTCTTGAACGCGTTTTTGTACATACTGCTTCCAAGGTTTTTCGTTTTGTATCCATTGAAGGGTCGTCATGGAATCTGTCCAGTATGTAAATTCGATTGCATCATTAACAGGAAGACATCTGGATATCGAATTTGACAGTCTGGCGGAGATTACAGCGCTTAGCAGTTCCAGTCTTGGAATCGTTTGAGCTTTGACAGGCGCTACTCGTGTTTTTGCAGCCACTAAACGTGTTTCGATGTGTCCATCCTCGTAAATCGATCGTAGGTAGATCACAGCCGCATAAGCTTTCTTGGACGCGTCACTGAATGAATGGAATTGCGTGTTTGTAGGCTTCATTGACGTATTGAAATAACATCGTGGTATACGAATCCTTTGTAGACATAGCAAATCGGTCATTAAAGAGATCCATATCCTTTTGTATGGTTCTTGTAGTTCATCGTCCCAATCAAATCCTTCGACACACATGGATTGGAAACAGCATTTCAGAACAATGGTAAAGGGACTCAGAACACCTAGTGGATCGAAAATCTTGGCAGATACTTTCAGAAATGATCTCTTGGTCAAAGGAAGCGATTTCGCGAATGTTATCAATTCATCAAGTTCAAACTGAAATTCGTCCGTCTTAGTGTTCCAGGAAGTTCCAAGAACCTTTACTGATTTTGCTGTCGATTGTGAATTGTTGCCAACTGTCGTTTTCATGTACGATTCATCTGCTTGTGTTATATTGCAATCGTTCAATTTTTTGGATGTTGAGGTGCTTTGCAGGGAATTTTCTTCGTCGTTGATGTATTTGAGCAATTCGGTAGAGTTCGAGTTCCATTTTCGTAAGTTGAAGCTTGCTTCTTTCATTAATTGTTTC